CTTCCTTTTTGAGGTCGTTCATGTCGAAACATAGGTCCATAGTAATAGAACTTTTTGGGTAGATCACGATCCATATTATTGCTAATTAATGCTCTGACAATACCTATAAAAATAAACAAATAATTTGTCATTTTTTCAGAAATTTATAATTCTACTTTTTAGAATTAAACTTACCAGCCGTTCCCTCAGGTCTCAATGTCAATCTATCATCATGATCAATAAAACTATATAATTCTTTTCCAACAATATCTGAATCACTACCTAAGGTTCGTTCAAATACTTGCGAATATTCCAATATTGGTGTGAATATCTATTTAATCTATTATTATTATTTTATTGTAACTATAAAAAAAAAACCCCCAAATTTTTTGTAATATACTTGTTCAAAACAATATAGTTCTGCAATCGAGGTTCCGATCTTTTGAATATGTGTAAATTTTTCATTTTCAATACCAAAACGGTCGTGAGTTCCTTTAACAGGCCTAGCGGGCTCTATTCTACCTGGCGTGAAATTGATTAATAAAGATATAAACTATATAAGGTTGTATAAATTGTGTGAATTAACATATGATACCTATTCGTTGGTCTCTCTATAACCTGTGATATATTTCTTGTTGATATTCTTTGCTGCGGTATAAATCGGAATGGAAAACGGAAATACATGATGTAAGATTATCAGTAAATTTTTGGCACGTAAAAAGATGTAATAATTCTGCGCAGCAGCCAATAGCATCGATTCGATTTGTTAAAAAATATGCAACTTGTAATTACGTTTTTTCATTTTTTATATTACAGTATTAGAGACTGTACAATTAGAGATTTATACATACGTATATAATTATATGCTGTTCCTAAACTATAAGTCTTCTCTAACAAAATGATACGTAGAAAGAAGTTACCGTAGTTACTAATTAAAGTATTTAAAAGTAATATCACATTAATTATATAATAAATTATTAAAGGAAATACTATAACCTAATTCTAATGGTGGAAATAGGCGTTCCTTAAAAAATGCTTACCATTTTAAAGCGCATTACGAAATTAGGTCACATTAATA